AGCATGAGGAGGTGCCACATCTTGGAGCTGTGTGAAAGAGCACAAGCAGGGGTGTGTTATTAGGAAGAGTGGAGTGGAATTCCCAAGAAGATCCAAGTGCAGAGTCTTCTGAAGGTTGCCCAAGATCTGTTTCCCAAGGGCTGCCAGTATAAGTACCTGTGTGAGGAGCGGTTATCTATAGCTCACCCTGTTTAACAGGTAAGGTTGCAGAACAGGAGAGGAAAACACTTGGGAATACCATGCAAGAATATGCCTGAGCACTCTGCAGATTACAAGGGAACTGTGGATGGTAGACAAGGCCAAGTCTTTCCATGAGTCTAGCAGAAGCTTGACAAAGAAGCATGAGTACCTGAGATGGCCATCACACAGCTTGTCTCTCTTTATCTGCCTCTACTTTTCTGCCAACAGGAGAGGTGAAAGGAGAAGAAAGCACTGTTTGTTTCCTGTCTCTTTAGGAATGAGATGAGAGAGGTTCAGAATGGGGTCTCTTTAAACCTGCCCTCTCCTCCTCTGGGATCAAATTTCATTCTTGGGGCTGTCAGTGATGTGCTGGGGTGAGGGATCAGTCAATGAGACTCATGAAGGGGCCAGGAGTGATTCAGGGACATTCATCATGGGGTGGTGTGCCCCAGACCAGGTTTAAGTTCTGTTTGAAATTAATTCCTCTGAAAATAAGAAGCAAACAAGATGACAATGCATGGCTCCTCAAAATCCCCATGAGTCAGTTTCCAGTCAGCCTTACCTTTCAGACACCAGCCAAGCAGCCATGAGCAGTGAGCAAAGGATCCTGAGACTGCCTTCATGTTGCCTAGGGACTGTCTTCATTATCTCTTAGAAATGGCTGTCCACAGAGCAAATCTTTTATTGGTCATGGGGAAGTGAGACCTTGCCCTTTCCTGTTGTCTGATGGTGCCAGATTAGCTTTTCTGAATAGAAATTGCAGAGTGCAGTAGATCTAGCACCAGTTTATGCCAACTCAACCTACAGTAGACCTGCTTCCAGGTTTTAGTCTTTATTTTGCAGAACACAGGTCAATGACAGCTCTGTGAGCTTCCCAGACCTTTTTTCAACTTAAAATTTTGACTCCAACACTCCCTAGAAAAGAGAAGAACAGATTCTGTGTCCCAGAAAGTTACCAAGTGTTGGATTATGGGTTAAAACTGTTGGAACGAGAGAAATGTTCAAATGTTCAGTGCTCCTTGCCTACAGGAGAGCAGGTTGGTAGGATAGGATTTTCCTTTCTGAAGATCTGTACAAAAAAGATTCATCCATGAAGCTCAGTACTGTGTTTATACATTGTGGAAAAGCCCTTATACGTCTGATTTTTGTTGTATGCTGTGCTTGAATGTGTGAGGAGAGAATGAGGGCTATGAGGAGCAAAGTAGCAGGAGAAAATGAGGGCTATGAGGAGCAAAGTAGCAGTTATTCTGCATGCATATAAAGATCAGGCAGGAGATTTAAATATTCAAAAGTAGAATCCATGGGACAAAAGGTACATGTAATGCAGTGTAAGGCTTCAGCTCATCGAGGTATCTTGTAAGATTCCCTCACCAGTAATGACTGGGGATATTACCGCTCTTGTAGTCTTGGTTTCCCCAGAAGAAAAGGACATGCTTCCATGACCATGATGTGTTTGTGTTATTTCACTTTTCTGTCTATCCTGTAATTACCTTTTGATGTAATTGTTAAATATCTGCCAAGTTCAGCACTTAGAGACAAGCCCGTGAGCTCCTGAGGACTGTTCATCAGGGAAGGACTATTCAGCAGGGTTCAGCCTTGCTGGGGGAGAGGCAGGCAGAAGGCAGCTATTGTATATTCTGCCGTCAGCTAAGCAGTCAGCAAGAGTCAGCGAGTCAACTTTTCAATGTCCATGTAGCTTCAAAGTAGCCACAGCATGAATAGTTAGTGAGTGAATTTTGTAGGAAACCTGCCTGCGTTACAGTTTGCATTAGGAAGTTAAGCGGACTCAGGAGACAAGACTTTCTGAAACCAGGCATTAGACATGGAGAATACAATTCTTAATGAAGAACAGAAGTTTTCACACAGCCATGTTTCTTGAGTCTGCTTCTAGCATAAGACATCTGCCGTGATGAGATATGGTGCTCCATGAAGTTTATTTGTACTTGGAAGTGTTCAAGATCAAGAGAAAATAGGAAAGTATTCCCCAATAAGCAATGGGGAAGATGAACAGGATTTGTGGGAGTGAGGGACGGGTAACCAAAAGAATTTTGCACTCTCTAAATCTTCTTATAGGAAAATATGTGTTGACCTTTTGTGATTTTCAATTTCACCTTTAAATTTGACTGAACAAATTTAAAGAAGTAAAACCCCATGAGTCATCAAACAGCTGGAATGAGGCAGCATTTGGGAACACCCAAAATTTTAAACTTGGCGTCAAAACACAGTGTTCAATTCCGTTTGTATATCAAATACTTCTTAATTTTTGTTGTCAAAACAGGAAGCCTCACAACTACATTCTCAGGCAGTGCAACACTCTGCTTTGCTTTCTGTTGTTTTACTTAGTTCTAGTGGGACCAAAATATGCCTCCCTGTACCTGCATGGGGAATTTCACAGGGAAGAAAAGTATTGCTAATGTCTCAGCTTGTTTTCAGATCACTACCAAGATTACTTGAGGCAATGCAGAGGCTAAATTATTCATCTTGTTAGGGTAAAGTTTCCTCCATGCACTCTATGATCACTCAGCTTAGTTGGCACAGCTTATGGACTTCCAGGTATTCACCTTTTAAATCAGATTCAGAGGGCTAAATAATATCAACCTTGGCAGGACACTGCTCCCTTAAGCTTTAGGAATAAAGACAAGAGACATGAACAGCTGTGTTCATCTAGTGAGATGAAGTCGAAGTAAGCATTGGTCATAGCAAACTGTCATAAAAGACATGCTTAGATGGAAAAAATGTCAGAGAGAGAAATGCCCTTGAAAGTTCTTTAGGTACTTTTAAGATTAAGTGAAACTAAGATGCAAGTCATTCATAAATTCGTCCTTCTATCCTTGTCTTTAAACAGTCTAAAATGTATTTCATAGAAGCTGTAAGGCATACACATTCCAACCAGAGAAGCAACTGTGACTACACATGAATGAGAATCTACTGCCTTACTCACTACCAAAACATTCATATGCATTACACAGTGGAAACAGGAGGTCCAGATTACACACTGTTGCAATACTAGGACATTCATTCCCTTGTTCTCAGACTGAAGAAAACAAGTAGAGAAAAATTAAATAGTTGCTATTTTTCTTCCTTTTGTGCGGGTCAAGTTTCTTGGTCTTTTAACTTGAGCAAAGAAGGACTTTGGTGCATAGTAATAGGCATACATATCAGAAAGGCAAAACACTGTCTATTTTTACAACCAACTACACAAAAGCAAGACAGCATATCTTTATGGAGACAGGCAACAGAGAAAGAGACCATGAACACACATGTACAAGCAACTTACCTCTGCTTTGGCTGCTGTGCTTGTGTCTTCTGCTCCGTCTCCACTAGCAGACTGATTCACTGGCAGAAACGTGTGCCGATAAAAGGAAGTCAAAACAAAATGAGCACCGCCGTGAGTGTCATGAGTTGGCAGCCTGTATTGTAGAGCGTGTTTACGTGTTGATTTGGCATTGTTTCAGAAGTGGGGAAATCCTTGTGATGAAAATAATCTTCTGGTTTAATTCACAAACCTGAAATGCACCATAGAGCAGGAGAGTTTACAGAGTACCTACAAATCAGTGGTTAGGATGTTTAAGCTGGGACCTGGGTGTTCCAGTCTCCTGGGGCTGTGGCAGACCATGACCAGTACTGTTGCCCAACTGAGGGGCTGCTACGAATGTAATCGTTCAGGGTGAAAAGGAGGAAGTGTCCAGCTTCTCTCAACACACTGTCTCTGGTACTGCTTTTCATTTAGTTTGTGTTAACTTTAACATTACAGACTGATCTAAGTCTGTTTTCCAGTGAGCAGTGCAACTCATCAAACTCATCTTATTCTGAGTGCACTCAGAATAAGTGCACTCTGGTGCCAAGGAAGGCTTGAACAAAACATGTAACTTTTCTCCAGCATTTTTTCCCCAGTGAGGGAAAAAACCAAGGGTTCTTGTTTATCCCAGTCCATTTTCATCAGTTCTGAAAACATGGTATCTTTGGAGATCTTTGCCTAATGGCTGAATTCATTGTAGTCAGCTTGAGGGCTCAGTCCTCACTGAGATTGGCTCAATGACCATGGGCAGAAGGACTTGTTCTGTGTCCTCGGGCATCTGGGCTGTAAACTAAGTAGAATCCTCCTATGTAAGGACCAACCTGTTCAGCCAATTAACTCACAAGTGCCTTCAGAAGAACTTGCCAGATTAAAGGACTGCAAACAAGATAATGCCTTTCACTAGCAGGGGAAGGAAAGTAGTGAAATAAAAACAGGATGTCAGTGAAGCCACCGTAACAGTTCTGCTTTACATACCAAGTAAACAACATTGTTTGGGATAGTGAAAAAGGTAATTTGGTAATTTCTCAGTGAAAAGTGTCTGCTCTGATGTCTGTAAGTGACAATAACTTTCATCAAACCATATATTAATCACTCAAAAGGACTTCGGCAACATTATGCCTTATCTCTCCTCATGTCCCAGCGTGGGATCAACAGTCCCCATGATGTGCCCAAAGCTGTTTGCCCAAGCTGCTTTGACTGATTTTCCAGAAAATTCAACACCCTGCCACTTCTGTGGTGTCCCAGGTTGCAAGATAACTGCACAGTTGAAATCTCTTTCCTAAGTCACTTCAGGGAATGCTCTGGCCACTTTCAGGTATATTGCTACTGGATTTACCGTTGAAAGTATTGAAAACTTATAATAAAGTAGGTTTCAAGTCCTTATACAGTCCCTCTACAAGAAATCTGTTAGTTGAAAGGCTGACTCTCTGGAGGGTGTTTGTCTCCAGGAATTTCGGTTTGGTGTAAGGAATGTCCTTGTCTGGAGGGAAGCTGTTTTGTTTGGCTCAAAATCTAGTTACATTCGTGAAGCAGAAGAAAGTAGGACAGGCTTCAGCAGTGGGCTCAGGAGATGAAACAGGCCTGTCATTTGTCCTGGAAGGGAAAGATGCAGAAGTGGTGCCAGCCATGATTAATGTGTTTGGCTAATGAACCATTATGCAGAGTGACACACTGACCCTTTGGTCATAGAGTGTCACCAGTGAACTGTCTTAGTGTAACACCTGTACCCGCCATGGTTAGCATCCCAGACTTGGCCCACATTAATATTTCATTCAAATGGGGAAAGAGAGTTTCATACTAAAAGGAAACACCTAAATACACTGTTTTTATTTTCACAGAGAAGTTAATGGCATTTTGTTGTGGAGGGACATAATGCTGTAATGCTGTAACCTAATAATCATGGAGATTACCCTTCAAATGAGTGGTTTTGTTCAATAACTACCTATTTGAAAAAAGATTGGTAGATTCAGAGTTCCCCCAGGAAATTAACAAGATGAAAGTTTCTTCAACACTGTTTTGAAAGCAACCCTTCCCAGTAGTGGTCAAAGTGGTTTACATACCCATGAGATGGAGATAATGAATCCTTTCTAGCCATGATTGGATCCTTTCATTTTAGTGTTTAAACCCCAAAGAGGCTGCCCAGAGCCATGATAAAGGTCAGAACAGCTCAGCTCTGTAGTAGCCAGTAGCTGAGATAAAATAGCAGGAGATATGAGGTTCCTGCTGGGTTCAGAGTGGAACTTTGAACCAAAGTGTCCCATGGAAGTGCTACCATTGCCAAGATGAAATCAACTCCTTTCTCATACACTGGAGAGTACATCTCGTACACATGGACACAGATCCTGAAAGTGCTGTCATCAGAGACTGAGTCTGCAAAGATTTCTCTATCACAGGGTGGATCTTGAACCTGTTTCCCAGCTTCCAGGTTCATGCTTGAACCATGGGACCGGCTACTGTTTCCAGTTGTGTCTACCCTCTCTATGTCCCCTGCTCTTCCTCATGAAAACAGTGAGCTACCCAGTTTCAAAGGAAGACAAACCATCTCTTCAGGAATGAGGTTTTTTATGTGAACTCAGTTTTTACTTTCTCATCATCATCTTATTTATTAATAAAATTAAGCAATATCATAACTGTTAGAATTAGTCTTGGCTTCCAATATGCCTTTAAATAACTCTCAGCCCAATAAACTGAGAAATAATATGAAGAATGGAGAATGTATTGAGGCCACTGACCATATCGAGAGGAAGTAAGTGCTTTCATTACTGTTATGGTCTAGAGAAGAGAGCAGGCTGCAAGCAAACCCTGTCTTCTGTTATCAAAGCATGGTTATTGCAGAATCTAAGCTTCATCAATGAAAAAACTATTACAGACCCACAAGGCTGCCAGAAAATATGAAGCGCACCATCAGGATGTACTGGAGTGACATGTGGTGTGCAGGAGGAACCCTTTCTCTGACTCCAGATGCTACAGAAGGGTTTTTTCACACCCAGTGAATCTAACTCTAGTCAGGTTAGGCTACTGGTTATGGATCAAGGATATTTCTGCATTAGATCAATAATTTCATTGTACACATGCAAGGGTGCATCCAATCCCAAGATGAAATCCAGGTGTGCCCATTCAGGAATCCTCTTGTGATAGATAAGGTTCTTTATTTGAGACAGTAAAATGTCTGCATCCTTGGGGTCTGCCAACAAATCTTGTCCCCCAGTCCACACTGCAGTTGGTACCGTCATGTCTTCAGTGTTGTAGAGAGGAGGAATAGCCTGGGAAACAAGAGGCAGTACAGGAATGAATGTCCAGAAGAGCTCAGCAAACTTTAAACTCACGTTTGAGGCTTTCTTCTGTCCCTGTTCAAAGTAGGGGTGCTTAAATCAAAGAGAAAGAAAGTGCCTTTTTTTGCCTTTTCTGTCTGTGCTTGCAGGGATTACTCAATGGATACTCAACTGATAGCACAGTCAAAGGTAAAATGCCCCCTGAGTTGACATAAAGTTACTGCAGGGTCTTTGCCCTCTCAGCTAGGAATGTTAGGGCAGGAACCTGGAACAAGCAGAAGATGTCAGAGTGCCTCTGGATAATCCCCTATCATGATCCTTTTGAAGTACTGGTCAGCCCCAGATGACATGGTCTGGATAGAAAACACATGTGACAAGGATGAAAAGGATCATGGAGTGGCTTCTGTAGGAGGAGAGGGAAAGTAGCTTAGGTCTCCTGGGTCTGGAAAATAGAAGCCAGAGCAGGGGCATGAGACAGGTGTATACACAATCACAAATGGTATGAAGAAAGAGCACAGGAAGTAATTATCCCATTACTTCTCATAACACAATACCTAGAAGGCATCCAGTGACTTTCCAGGGGCAAGCAAATCCAAGGCAAACCAAAGGAAGTTGCATTTCATGCAAACCATCATTATAATATATGACTCATAATGACAGACAGTTGTGAAGACCTAAAGGGTAGGAGAGTCAAGGATGGAAGTAGAGTATTGAATGGAGAAGATGTACCTCAGGGGCTGCTTGAGGACAAAGTTCTTTGGTCTCTGGCTGCCAGAATCTAGGGGTGGCTATTAGTTCTCCAGTTATCGTCTTCATAATATTGCTGCCTTGAACTCTCATACATTGTCAGCTATTTCAGTTCCACTAGTAGGTGAGATGTCTCTGCTAAATTCTATATATTCTTCTTTTTCAAAATTAATTTTCTCTCTTTTCTGCCCTTTCTTTCTCTTATTCCTATTGATCATTTAATTGAAAAGCTTTGGTCTTCCTCTCTCTTTCTTTTAAAATTTATTGAATTTATTATTGCCATTAGTGCTTGCATGCTTTCTCTGTTGACTTCCAAACTGGAAAGTAGTAATATTTTCACATACTTATATGCTGAAAATGTGTCTCCTACTACATCCTTGCTCTCTCCCTGTGTGTGCTTCTGTGCTCTCCAAGGGTGACAATATTGTTTCACCAAAACATACCTGTTGGTATTTTTCCATGTTCTTCTTTGAACTGCCCCAGTCATAAGCTTGGAACTTCCCTGAGCGGGCCTCCTAAGAGGATGAACAAGAGAAGGGTAGTTATAAAACCATCATTTCAGGAAGTTTATGGGTTCTTCTCTGCTGAGCCTCTGACTATAATCTAAAGCCCCAACAGACGTTCTTCTAAGAGCAATGGAAAAGCCAATAGTAAATTAATTAAAAGTCTCAAACAGTGAAAAGGAGTCAAATGTTTTTGTCAGAACCAAAGAAAATAATGGCTTGTGCAAAAGACCCAGGGATGCCCTTGCAGGTAATTTGTTCAAGTTTGTAAAACTGCTATTAACAACTGCGTTCAGCAAGTTCCCCTCACTGCTACTGCCTTGTAGCACTGTAAGCAGTAACAGCCATGTTGCCACCACTCAGCTCTATGAGTTGCTCCTTCTTATGTTTTCTCTTCCCTCTCTGTTTTGAATACAGAAATCACCATTTCTTGTGCTCTTGTGCTTCTTGGCTTTGCCTTCAGCATGAGTTGCTACTACTATGAGAAACACCATCAACATGACCTTAATATTTGAAGATCTGCTAACACCTTTAACAGTAATAATAGCATAGACAACAAAGACTTAGGAATATTATTTCTGCATATTTGTGCTTTCCTGTCTGTGGTTAGATGCTGAATTAAATTTGAGTCACTTTGCAGACATCCCTGTACCATGCCTTTTTAACCCTTTTTTTTACAGGTCTAGGCCATGCTTACAAAAGCTACTTCATCAAATCTAATGTATTATGTAAATCCACAGACAAAAATATTGTTTGATTTTGAGTAAATGCCTGTGCAGTTGTCACTCATATATATCCATATGTTTGCAGTGCTGAAAAGTGTTTTAACACTCTTGAGAGCTCACAGTGCTCTCACAGCTGCTTCCTGCACTGCTCCAGAGCCACCAAGAAACCTGTCTTACTGCAGAGGCTTCTGTGACTGAGCCCATGAATCCTGAGAGTGTGAGCCCAAACACAGAGAGGCACTTCCCATCAGCACTGCTGCTTAGGAGGTATTGTGGCAGTACCTTGTAGGTAAGGGATATAAAGGGTCTACTAAATGAAGAGTTTATCATTTATGGTTCTATTGCTGTCCAGACACTGAGAGCTTTGAAAGCCAGAGATGAAACTATAAGGGCTTTTACTAGTAGAATGTGATAATTTACATAGCAGCCTATGTCCTGCCCATTTCTTGACTCCACACTGGAAACACGACCAATTTTCTAAGGTAATCTCTATACAGAACTGTGGACAGGATTTATGAAAGGTACTGCATAAACAATGAGAAGAATTTCATATGCATCTGCATACACAGCTTCCAGAACACGTTTTTACACAAATGGAACACTTAATTGTTGGCTTCAACTGTACCTGTATCACATAGCTTATTTCTACCTTGCTGGCAAAAGAAGGATCAATGAAAAACAGTGTTTTGAATTGAGATTTCAGTTGTAAACCAAAAGTTGCATGTGTTTCCAAGAAGTTAGCAATGTCTTCACAGCACAGTATCTCTATACCGTTTAGCCCAAGGTGAGTACCTAACTTGTCTCCCAGGGATTTGCTCGTACCTGACTCCAGTGGATTATATTTTGCACAGAAGTTCCAGAGGAGGTTTGGGCAATATACACATTGATTCGGTTCTGAAAGAAAATATTCAGTGAGCATTCTCTTCCTTCCTCCTATTCAGAGGTACATCAAAACATCTGCTACAGCAGTGTCATGTATCAATAAAACCAACAGAAACTGGAGGGGCATGACCGAAAACTCCCTCAGATTTACTCCAGATGTGGCAATGTGTCAGGTTAGGAGTAGCTCTGGAAGAACAATCCCCAACCAGAATATTTTCCAGGATGACTGAGAATCTAAAAGAATCTACAAGTGGAAAGGACAGAATAGAAAGTCAGCAATTTAGACCCCAAACTAGGTGCTGTTTTTTCAGATGTCTGTATCAGATCCTGTGTGAGAGAGGATCACTGTTGGACAGAACAGCAAAGGAAACTGCAACTTCCTGAAGAATGCATGAGTATTTGAAATAAAATACACCCTACTCCTGCAGGGGATTCTTAACAAGCTGCTGTGTGATCCTCCCTCGGAGAGCACACTCTGAAGCACTTTTTGAAAAATACTGGATGAAACTTTTGATGCCCAGGTGGTCTGAACTACAGCTGGACATAGCATGAAGTGCCCAGATATGTCTTAATATTCTGCCTCCTAGTGTGTGCCAACTCCCTCTCAGGTACCCCCAAGGTATCTCGGTCATCCGAGGCTTGGAGGAGGGCAAAGGGGAATATGTGTGTTCCTTTCTCTGTTGCAAAGAGAAAACATGAAGCAGGTAGGTGTCACTGCAAACTAAACATCTCTGATGACTCCAGTAGCCACAGTAGGAACCAGGATATGGTGCCCTGGGTGAGGTCTGGCAAAGGGCAGACTGCAGAATTTTGAGTGGCTCTGAGCACCTGTTTACTGTTGGGATGGTGCCAAGTGTTCCTCTGAGGAGTGAGGCAGTGGTCCCCTGCCAGTGATGGGGCAACCAGCAGACACTGCTATCCAGTAGTGGAGACTGTTCTTTGCAATGTGACACTAATAGAAATTCAGAATTCAAACTAGAGGATAGAAGGTGAGTTCTGGTAGCATAGACTGAAACTCTTAGTAGAGCTGGCAAAAGTTATACATACCACATCAATGTTTTTCAAGTTACAGCCACCCAGACTGAAAAAGACACTTCTACAGAGCTTGGCAAAAGCTCGATGGCTGCAGACAGGGGCCACTAGCTTTTTCAGACATTCAGCCTGGGGAAGGAATTCTCTTTTGCCGAACAAACGCTGTGAAATACAAAGGTAACATTTAAGAATGCACATTGTTCCTCTTCTCCAGCACTTTCAGTGGTTCTTACTTGCTTTTTCTCCACTGGCCAGATGGTGCTCCCATAAACGAGTGAAATTATTTGGTTTTCCATTGCATCAGCCTGCTTGAGCATTACTCAATTTGTCTTACATCGTGTTTAATGAAGAGATATGTTTAATATTAACTCTAATTCATAGTTTTTCTAAGCCTGTGTGGCTTTGTCTACAGGAATCTTGGAAACCTTTGAGGATCTGCATCTCTGTAGCTCTCTGGGTGACCTGTCCCAGTGCTGAGCTAGGTAGAAAACTTTTCTTAATGCTCAGTCTGAACTTCCAAAGGCTTCAGCCATAAGGTAAACTTACATACACGCAAATGAGTAGACTTCACAAGTGCTTTCTGTTTATCCATTTTAAGAGCTGAACAAAAAAGTATATGGTTAAATAGTCGAAACTAAGATATCACATACCCTGAGAACTTTCTCAGGAAGGTAGAGGAGTTTTGTTGCTGGACCCTTAGCATACTTGATAGATGTGACAGGTGCCAATGCAAAATAGAGTTTGATCTTTTGAGCCAGTTCTGGCATTGTTGAAAATGCAATGAAAGCTGAGAAAACAAAATAAAGAGGAGTTAAAAAATAACCATACATTAGGCTGTTTTCAGTATTTATAAATGCTATTCTGCAATTTCAAACCTCAAGAAACCTTGTTAGTAGTTCAGACTGTGATCCAGTCTAGATTTATGTGAAATCCCTCTTCCCCAGCAGTTTGTAGGCTTTTTACCTTTTCAGAGAATTTTTTCTATATTTTGCCTTTGCAGCTTTCTTTAAGACTTGTATAAACACAAATGCACATTTCAGATGTACATTCATGTGTTTCATATACTATTGGGATCAGCAGTTGTTTTTCCTCTGGTCAATCCAATTGCATATTTTCTTTTTGTGTGTGTGCATCTGTCCAAGCTGGCCAACTTCTCTTTCTGTACTCTCATCTTCCTATTTAGTTTATTTTGGTCAACTGACCAGCTGCTGTTGGGCACACCCTTGCATCTTGGAAATAAACAATTTTCATGGTCCACGATAATTTCCAGTATGATTCTAAATCGACAGATTTACAGCAGCAATGCACTTGATCCCTTCTGTTTTATTGTCTTTATAATAAATTTTAAATGCCTACATACTGAAAACACCTGATGTGTTTTTCATGCTGGCAAAAAGTTGATGAAAACCCCAGGTACATCCAGTATCTCAGTATCTCAAAACACATTTTACTCCTGTTTTCCTGAAGCATTTATCTGTTGTGTGTCACTTACCGGTAGTAGTACCTTGTGAATAGCCAATATAGTACAACTTTTCCTGTCCTGTTTTCTCCACAATGAAATTTATTGCTGCTGGAAGATCAAACTTTGCCATCTCATCAAAACTGCAGACAGGAGATTGGAAGAGGGGCATGCATAAATTAAAAATCAGACTGAATTGAATTCAGATTTTTATTACAAACTTGTCAGCAAAGAAACTGTCTGAATCATTTAGTGAATCATTCAGCTGCTTTAGGTTCTGTATATTTCTGGCACTGGATATGGAAGCCACTACTCAGGGTTTTCTGTGGTATTTTCTCTTTTGAAATAACAGAAGGACTATAACTTCAAGAAGAGACAGGTTGAACTGCTTTGCTGCTGTACCCTTAGTTTGAAGAACCTGTTCTAGCAGTAATTAAAGCAGATGTATTAAAGTTCAAATGCATCTACAGGGGGACTTCAGCAAAAGTGAATGTAAAACTTTGTTTTAAAAGCTAGCATATGTAAATACCTGATATATTCAGATGAAAAAAAATATGTAAAGATGGGCAAGAGATATGCCCTTCAAAGGTTCTGTCTACCTGAAAGCCCAGAATTCATCCTGATCAATGGAATAAGTTTGATGTTTTCTTGACCAGCGATTCCCTCGGCTATTTCCCATCCAAACATCAAAACCAGCATCAGCTAGCATGAAGCCCAAACTGTTGTTGGGCAGGTTTGTGATCCAGTTGCTAGCATCTCCCAATAATCCATGCTGGAGATACACAACAGGTTTTGAAGCTGAAAAGCAAATCAGAAAAAAAACCAACAATTTATTTATTTGTTAGTTTGTTTATTCCTGGTAGTTCAGGGGCATTGCTGTCCCATATTCAGTGCTGGGATTTGTTCCTGCACCAATTTAAAGTAGCACAACCAATCAGAAGAATAAAACATACATTTCCATTTTCTAAGCTTCTGTAAGAATTTATGGATAGATCTGCCTGACATCAGTGAGAACTAGCTTGGCACCCTCTGGGCATTATTTGTATAGCTCATCTGCATCAACTTGAGATTCTCAGCACTGACATAGAGAATGAAGGTGTGGGATTGTTTGCAGAGGTTTCCTTTTCCCAAAATATGTATCAGTCACTGATATGTACCAGGTGTAAGCAAAGATGAGGCAAAGTTAGAAGCTGGAACAACTTTCTCAAAACAGGGTGATTAGGCAGATTACAGTCTTTACCCTATGTTAATTTTATTTTCTTTACTTTTACTCAACAACTCTTACCAGGAGGTATAGGCTTCATATTATAGTGGATTTTTTTCATAAATAGGTGTGCTTAACATAAATTTGGTAGAACTTGCAGGTTGTTCAGGGCAGCCAGAACTCTGCTAAAATTTCACTCATCTGTGCAAGCTTTGGTGGATGTTTTACAAATATAACGTATCTCTTTTGAGAACATACCCTATCTAGGCTGGTTTTGTCTCATATTAAAGAAATGTACCTGAGCTTCCTTGATCCTGAACACCATGAGGGATTCTGTTAATGGTAATGGTATAACCATCTTCAGTCATCACTTCATACTCCTCACTGGGGTACCCTCTGTAAGTAATCAGCTCTTTCTAGAAGAAAAGGTACAAATGCATTTACTTGCAGAAGTCCATTTCATTTGTGCATAAGGAAGTCACAATGAAGAAATGTTAGAAAGCAGATACAACTGGGGATTTAGTCCTCATATACTAAGCATCTGAATAAAGCAATATCAGATTGGATATAGTAACCCTAAAATACAACAAATTTCCTTTACCCTTTGTGTTATATTCAGGATTTGACTAATTAGTTAAAATCTATTGTATAAAACCTGTATTATACTCTTGCTATATAATCATCATAAGTCCTGGCATTCTGGTGATACAAGAATCACTATAAACTCATAGCAGGAGCTTATGAGCTGAGAAGAGGTGCATTGCTGAAAGGATGAGCTGCCCAGGTGCATGATCCTGATCTGTGGCAGTGCAAAGTGAAATGAGTGTTTATAAAATACCTTCAGAGAAATCCAGAGAGCTTCACAACTACCCTTTGGTGAACAGCATAGATGCAATGAGTACTGCTGAAATGATGACTACGTCATGGAAAAAACCAAGATCAGGCGTAGTCACATAGTCACATAGTCACAAGGGAAATCACTAGCACAGCCAATCTTAAACTCTGAAATAAATATTACTTCTGACCTGTAGCATTCAACCCATTTTGTTACAAAAGAGGATTGTTTTTTATGACTTGTACTCAGAGAATTACTCAATAGAATTTGTCATGCAGAACAGAAAACTCAGGATTTTAACAAGCGACTAAAGACCTAAACAATCTTGCTTGGTGAAAGGTGTTCTTCTGAAAAGCTGCCCATTTCTGACCTATGCTGATCACCACTATTTATTTAGGGACTTCTGATGAAATGCTGACATTCCAGATGGTCATTCCTTCAGACAGGTGGGTAGTGCCAGCAATAGCAAACTGCTAACTGACATTTAAAAGGAAATTTACTCTGGAGATTTCCTCAGAAAAGGTGTTTGCTTTAATTTCTATCAAACAGAAGATGTGCTGTTACACATGCAGACAGAGGAAAAAAGAAGAGTAAGCTTCTGTAAGTTAAGTAACAAGAGTAGTTTATACCATGACTAAAGAGGATAAGTTAAATAAAGACACCTTATCTACCTTGTTATTTGTAATACTTAGAAACTCCTCTGCTATGAGACATATGTTATGTCCATCCTCACGTGACTCCACCAAGAACTTACAATATTCATAAACACTTCAGGATCCACAGCTCTTTTCATTCTTATCAGTTCTTCTGAGTAAGTAATTCCCTGAAACAAATATGTCACAGCAACAAGCAGCCATATCTTCTCTCTGCAAAACCCAATATATTCATCTGTTAGTAGTGCTGCTCTTCAGTTGTCATCCAGACTTTTCTGATGAGGGAAGTGCTGCCTAATACTGAATGGAGCCAGTCTGGTACTCCCTACTTGTTCATTAAATGGAACAAAGCTGACTTCAAACACCTATCTGAGGGAGTTTGGCAGCAACCTGGATTCTCTCCTAAGGTTTGGACCAGGATGTTGCTCTTGATCAGGGCAAAAGTATCAATTAATCCAAGAAAGGGGCAAAGCCTTTGGAGAAATGTATTTTGCTCATTTGTCTGAGAAGTAAGTTACTTGCACTACCATGCCATGTGTTTGTTCTGTAGATGAATTTGGAAACATTTCTGGGTAATTCTGGGAAACACAGGAGTTACTGGGCAACTTGTAAGTAAATCAATCATTGTCACAATGAATTTTTCAAAGTGGAGACAACTAAGTTGTTGGATAGTTAGCTGAAAAAAAGCAAAGATTGAAAATAAATTTTAAAAGTAATTCTTTTTCATTTAATAAAATGTAGTAGTCTAAATAAAACAGCTATTTATAGTTGCCTACCAAAGTTTATACAAAACTTCTCAGCTCCATAAGATGAGGATGGAGAAGGGAAAAGAAAGCTTTGCTAAACGTAATGCTAGGTAGAGACTGAGTGCAGGACATCCGGTTTTGTTTGGCAAATAAGGAACAAAAAAACCTGAGAGGTAACTATCCTGCTTAGATGCACATATAACAGCTCCACTGTCTGTGAACATCTACATACTCTTTGCTCAAAGGACATGCAGTGTTTGGATTAGCATCCTCTCTATACTATACAAACTCCTGGAGGCCACATCTGAACTTCTTGTCCAGGTGATATTTCTTTAAGCCAGATTGAATCAGCCAAAAAATCTATTGCATATATTGTTTTCCTAATCAAGAAGATTTAAAACTATTTTTCCCTAAATAATATGAATTGGGTTTGCTTTTTTTATTTCCTTATCGCAGAACAACAATTTATAATCTAACTTCCCAGCACTGCATTCTGGTACAATCTCTTTCTTGAAAATACTTGGCTCCCTTTGTAGAAAAAGGAACAGACACTTTAAAACCTTTGTTTTACTGAGCTAGCCTCCTTTCTTTTGGTTAAAAGTCATGGCTTTCTTATGCCCTTACTTGCCATTTTTCCATGCCTCTCCAGTTATCCCAGAGTTACCTAAATTCAGGCTAGGTGAGCCAGGCTACTCCTCTTTGGCCTAAAGGAATCTTTCAAGAAATAGCCATACTTTCACCTATGTGAGCTACAAACAAAACAACACAACAAAATGAATTTGTTCTCAACTAATAAAACTACTCCTCAAGCTCAAGTTTGATACAATCTTTTGCAGCTCCCACAAAGCTTTCACCAGTTTTGGATCAGAAATAAATCAAACATTACTGACCTTGTGCCAGAAGTCATGTGTTCGGCTGAGCGACTGAGGCTACAGAAGAATGGAAACTCAATTCCTGGCTGTCTGGAAGCAGTGCTGGGTGAAGATGACAGTGAAATGATGGTCATGCACTGTTTTTTCCTGAATCATGCAGCACTTTGACAACAAGCATCTATTTCTTTCCCACTTCTCGCTCCTTCTGCTATCACTTCAGCTTTTCCCTATGGTAGCACCAGAAAGAGGCAACTCCTTTTGTTTTTAAACCTCGTGTTTTTCAGCTCCTTAGTCACCACAGCTATAACAAGGCTCTTTTACTATCACAGACTGATGGATTTTTAAGGAGAATACCAGCCTCTGTGGAGTGGCAGAGCAGGATCAGGAATTTTAAAAACAAATACATTCATAGATACACCTTATCATACCTAATGAAATTGTCAATAAACCTGCAACATTTTTCTCTTTTACTAACAACTTACCAATTCCAGCTTCTCATGTTATCTGGGAAGGATGGAAGGAACTCTGACTCTGTGGATGTTACTGCACATATTCTTCTTCTATTCTCGTAATGTTGCTGTCACAAAACTTTACATTGTTGTGGATGTGGTTCCAGGAGATTTTCCTTTATTTATATTTCACCTCTTAAATGGCCACAGAATTAAATTGATATTCCCTGAATGGTCATGAAACTAGAATGCTCTTCTGTAATCTCTATGGACTCAGTAAACATTACCATAATGGGCACACTTGTGTCAGCAGTCTCAAGTATACTGGGAATGGGCCAACATTGCCCAGCAGTGGAAATTAGGTAGGTCTGAGTAGACTACTATGTCTTCAGGATAGTGACCTTTGTGAGGCTCTTCTTTTTGTGGAGTACAAGCATAATGCAGCCATGTGCCATAAATGATGTCCTCCATAACTACAACTGCAATATAAACGTCACAGAAGTATGATTCATACTTCGGGTTGTTTTTTTTTCTCACTTGCATGTCCTTGTCTAAAGCATGTGGGGTTTGCATTCTGCCTGCTCCACCTGGGCTTGTTTAAACCTTGAAACTAATTATTCTTTCTTGTTCAATTCCCCATACTTACTCCTCCAAATATTCATTCTGTCTCATAGATACTGTCTGCCCACATAGAATAGATCAGCTTAAACACTGAGATGAGCATCAACCAAGGTTTTGAACAGGCTTTGATATTTCTATGAATATTATAGCTTGCATGCTTTCTCCTTGCAATACTGACTGTGGTTAGGACCAGAAATACTTAATATATCCTCAGAAGTTATTTTCTTTAACATTTACAGATCAGAAAGGAATATTAAAGAAAATCTCAGGAGAAGACCTGTTGCTACAAGACTTGTTAGCAGGCCTAAAGGTCTGAGTTCAGTTTCTGGTAGGGAGTTAGGAGAAGAAATTGTTCATATACTTGAAGTTCTCTCATCTTCCTGTAAAGAAAAGTAGGTTTTCCTCTTTTTACAAATCTCAGTGTCTTTCAAAGCTCGACATGAATTTCATGAGTGAACTGTTTAAATGTGTACTTGCCTCCAAGTACTTCATGCTATTCTAAGTCATTAAGATGTGCTGTTAACTCACTGTGAACAAGGCCAGCTTCATTCTTTAGTGCACAGCAATGCTTCAATGACAAAAATAACTCAGTAAAACAATATTGAGTAAAAGGACAAAGTATAAATGGCATAATACTATAAATGGCAAACTATTAGATAAAGTAATCATTGCAGGTTGTTGGCAGCACATGGTTGAAGTTAGTGTTTGAGATGAAAGAAAGCAAACAAGGGTCAGTGTTGGGCTGATTTTGGGAAAATAGACATGCACATTCTGTTGTAAACTGAGAGGTTTCAGGGGAAGTTACACTATAAACAGCTGTAGAATTCAGTGGAAATGCTTAAAGGCTGCAATGTTGTTGTCACAGGTGTGGCTGCTGCTTCACAAGTGTGGTCATATGCAAATGAACTTTAAACTCCACAGTTCAAGTGCTCTTAAATAAATATAAGTGCCTTTGTATAAACTGTTGACTACATGCTCAGTTTGCAAAACCTCAGGTCCTTCCAGTGTTCTTTCTGGATAAAAACCACAGCAAGGTACAGGATATAATCACTAGCATTTTGGTGTTTTCTGCCAACTTCTTGCTCTCCCCATTCTCTCCTGCTTCAGGAATTAGATCTGGCTCTGGAAGTGACTTAGGAATGGAAGATATTTGTACACAGCTGAAAATAGCAGTTCTTAGTGGATCAAATATGTCCTTTTGGCTTCTTCATCCAACCAGTGTATGTAGTTATCAGAAACATTTGGCTATTTTGAGTATGTTAAGGAGGGCCTTTAAGGGGAGGTATGCTTTATGGAGAGACAGACTTGTTTTTGTGCAGGTTGCCATCCAGGAGTCTCCAAGGGAACACATAGCAGCAAAACCAGAAGGAACCCCTCGTGCACTCAGATGGCTTTAAAAACATTCCATGCTATAGTGGTGTAAACAGTTGTTTCTTGAGAATGAGCAAAACACTGAGAACTAAGAACAGGATCTAACAGTGTGCTCTCCACAGCATCCCTGGGGTAATACCTGATTCCCATCAGTGTGCAATGACTACCCTCAGCTGTTGCCTTGGCTGAAGTGCTGTTGGCTCCCAGCAGAGACAGGTTTGGGGGGTGAAGGCAGAGCCCCCTATTCAGCAATGGCCCCTGAACCTCCAAACTGTGAAGGAAGTCCTCCCAGTGGAGTCCATACACACAGAGACACAAGTGCAAAAGCATTAAGCACTAGTGAGAACAGGTGCTGCTTGGGTGAGAGATTCTCCTCAGCTCTGTCAGGCCTGCAAAAATATTCCTGGTGCTCATCATCAAGGTCAATGTCATGGGCTTGCCTGGGGATTTTTGGCAACTAGGCTGAGCAGAACAGTATTCGTAAGTGATGAGTGAGGTAGCTCTGAGTTAGCACTTATATAATTATGAATCTTTCGTATGACAAAGGTAAAGTAAGAAGTGTCAAAAGGAAAGGCTCTTGAGGGACAGGGTGCTCCATGCCTGGCTCTTGTGCTCACACTGCTAACGCCTCGTCTGGGAATGTCCCAGGCAGCGTTGCCCTCCTGCCCAAGCGCCAATCACGCACAGAACGGGCATCTTGCAAATGAAAAGCCCAAGACCAGGTTCTCTGTTAACTTATCCAAGGAAAATGCAACTTGTGAAGATAGCAATTATTTCCACAATACTTTTTGGCTGATGCTGAAGTTTGTGAAATGTATGCAAGCCAGGATTTCTTAACCTCTGAGGGTGGATGAAATCTGTGTTGCAATTTATGAGCTTTGCATAACTGTTCAAATTGTTCTGCCTCACAACCCGCAGGAAATTAATTTTTATCCTGCTAATTTTGTTGTAATGTATACAGCAATATGTCATCACCCTCATAGTTATCAACTGTAATTGGAGAAAAAAAGGAGTTCATATTCTGCCTACACATGTGTGGAAAGCTGAAAATTAAGTATGCTTTACCTCTCTTGCACTTGTTGCTATATGAAAGTCTTGGGATTGTGAATTCAAATCCTGTGGCAGAAGTACTGGAACCAGTATGAGCACTATGCAGGACTTAGACTCAGTGTGCACCAGTCAGCACTAGTCACTATCCTGGTGAGTATGTGCCATTAAGCGCTGGCAAACATGGACTGGTGAAGGAGGCTGAGGTTGGGTCAGGCAGTGTGCTCCAGTCAGTTTTGTATGAGCAGGACTTACCCAGCTATTTTTAAGGATGGGTCAGAGGGACTGTGGACAGAGTGGCTTGGGTTCATCTTAGAGCTAAGAGTTAAAGTTACAGGTTTGTTCTGAGACAGAAGGAGGCTGCTAGGGCGTTACAGGCAGCATCACAAAACCTCTGTCCCACGTTCAAACTGGGATTTTTGCATACCTGTAACTGGGTTGAGTGGAGATAGAGTTGGCAGCAGCCTGGATTGGGCAGTGAGAGGAGGTCAGGGCTGGGCAGTGAGGTGGATGGAAGTTGGGACTGCCTGCTCTCTTCCTGTGAACACCTTTCTCCTTGCCCTCTTTCTGCTGGAAAATTATCTTCAAATATGAATTCCATTACTAATCATCTCCACCATGACTTGTTGAATTTTTTCATGCATATAAACCAGCATCCCACTAACGTTTTCCATGTCAACAGATCATATAATCATGGATCTGTCTTTCCAAAGTACTTTTTCACTTGTACCTTTATACACAGTAGGAATTTCTTTTGAAACAGCAAAGGTATTGCTAACTCATAGATCTGGTCTTTTTTCTTTAAACAGTGAAGTTACAGTTACTAATACAAACTGCTGGTCTGCTCTGGGCATCAACATTAATTTTCCCACATGAAATAGTACACGATAAATAATGAAATATGAAATCTAAAGTAATTATAAAATTAAGATGACTACTTTGCACTTAGGACTTGGAATATTGATTTGGTCTTTTATAAGGAAAATTGAGCATGATAAAGGGATTTTAACTTTAGCTATAGAAATGCACTTTAAATAGTAAAGCTGCTTATCAAATACAGCCTGTGTTTTCAATAGCGGCTTTCCCTTATAAAGACAAAATTTTTCTTCTGACTCCAAAGTGATACTTTACAAAACCAAGTGAAGAATCTACATGTTCTATTTTACTTATGTCAACAAAATATTTCATTCTTTTGCTATGTGAAGGAAGTTGACTTCTGAAATATTAATGCCAGCACATAGTTCCACAGCACTGCACACAGTACAAATGGAACTTATGGATCACTTTCAAACTCTGCTCCATTGGATGTTGCGCTGGACATTCAAAGTTTCCATGAAACAAAGGAAATATTTCCAGTTATTGGGGTATCCCTCTTGCTCTTCTAATTTCCTGATCATGCTGCAGAATTTACTGGTCAGGACACTCACAGTCTCTCTTCTACTGGATCAACTTTTTGTCATGAAACACATAAAACTTTCATTATTTTGTGGAGAACCATGCTGCTACTAGTGAAAGCCAGGGAACATGCAGACAGACACACAGACAGCATAATCTCCTGAGCATTGTTCCCCTTGGAAGGTAGCTAAACCGTTCTCTCTTAAGCCTTTGAATGAAACCCCTGTATGTTTCTATACTGCTGCTGGATT